ATGCATCGCCTTCTATAGCTTGCGACTTTGGCTTCGTGGCCGGGCTACCCCCTGCCCGAGGAGCCGCGCTGCCCGGATGACCAGCGCCTGGACCCCTGGCCCATCTATTCGACGACCCGCCAGGCTCAGACGGAGAGCGGGGCGAGCAAGTACTATAGACTTCGACGGCGACGATATGGACTGCGCCTTCCACGACTGCGCGGAATACGACGACCCGGTGGACGAGCGGGAGGTCAGCTCAGGTACCTCCCCAGCCGCAGCGGCCGATGACCCCTGGACTGATCCTCGAAGCTTTATATGTCAGGCTTTTGCTTCATTTGCTACAGGATCAGCGCAAGCTGCGCCCCCTTCGAAGCATCCCCGCGCGTCTCTCTTTCGCGAACTTCGAGAAGAAACGGAGGCGGGCGAGGCGCGCGGGAGGTCTCGGGACTTCCATCGAAGGACGCTGGAGGAGACTCGCCCAGACGAGAGCTTCCGGGACCCCGCGGGCCTGGGCGCTCTGGGAGCTGCAGAGATCGACGAGGAGCTGCGCGGCGAGCAGCGCTGGCCCACCACCGCGCGGGACCCGCGCTCCCTGGACCGTCTTCAGTCCAAGCGCCCAGGCATCATCGTCCGCGATGGCGGTGATGGTGACGTCGTCGATCTGGCTCACACGGAGGACGCCGGCCCGGGGGGGGCGTCTTCCGGGGCTGGTCAGCACGAGGGGAGGGGGGGGATGACGACGCGGGGTGGCAGGGTCATCCTGCGCCCAGGCGAGAATGCGACGAGGGTGCGTAGAGTGGACAGGTAAAACAAGACCCTCGATGAGCACGTTGACCGCCTCGAGCTCACTGAGTCCGCCCCAAGAGAGCGGGCGCCATCCGATTCAGGGCCAAATATCCATCACCTCAGAGTACACGTTGCGCTCTTAATGGCCACGAGCGAAAACCTCGAGTTGGAGCCGCTCGGGGAAGGTGGCGGACAAGATGGAGCCCATGGAAGGTGGTTCGGTTTCCCGTCGGACGAGGATCATCAAGTTGCAGGCGGCGGGGGTCGACGCCCGAGCGGAGTCTCAACGGCCCATGCTAGAGCGGCGCCTCGAGCTGCTCCAGACCAGGAAAGCGCTGATCGGGCAACGAGGCGAGGCGGAGGACGCACTCGTCTACGCCCGGGGTCAATTCGAGGCACTGGAGCGCAACGTCACAGAGGCGATCGAGCCCGAGGCCACGAACTAGGCTAACTACATTCAGGGACTGCCGACCTCCCCCATGCAGGTTCGCGGTGCGTTCGGAGACGCAGCGCGCGCGAATGAATCAGCTCGCGCTGTCCTCTTGCACCTTCCACACCTGGGCTCCTTGGAACCACCGCTGCAAGAAGATGCTGCGAGCGCGGTTCTACGGGGTCAGGTGCGCCCCGAAGGACAGGAGGAGCAACTGGAGCGCAACTGCAGCTTGCAGGTGGACCTCGGGGAACCCGCGGACGGTCCGGATGGATTTCGAGAACCCACCAGCAAAAACCTCGGCCGCACGCCCTTCAGTAGACGGACTCGACCCTCGACCATCCAAGCGGTCGAAGCAAGCATGGCCATGCACCGAAGGCGCCGACTGAACAGGGAGATCAAGCACCAGACCGCGCCAGCCGAGGATGTCGCGAACGCGGGCTCGAGCGAGGGCGACAACGAGCAGGAGGGAGATCTTAGTGGTGGACCACCTGGTGTAGCATCCGGCGACGACCCCGCCGGCGACTTCCTGCCGCTCCCTGAGAAGCTTCGCGTAGCCCGCCTGGAGCGGGAGCTCTCGGCCGATGCAAGAGCAAAGACACAGGGAGAGCAGCAGTGCAAGGGGGCAAGGGCCGCCCTGCGGGGCTGGCTGCAGGTGGGGCTCAGCCAACGAGAGGACCCAGGAGATTTGCTGCCGCCTCCCCGCCGGCGCGGCGCCCCCATGCCGGAGAGGGCGTCGTCGACGACGTGGTCGAGGAGACAGTTGCGGAAACGCCGACGCCCGACGATAAGCAGTTATTCCCCAGGCCGAAGTACATCGGGACCGTCGGCGTGTACGTTTTGGTTCCAAACGAGCACAACAACATTTCCGCCCTGGTCCACCATCGGAGCCACGGGTGAGTTCCCCGCGTGCCGTCGCTACTCCGCAGGGAAGGATCGGCCGGGGAGATCCGGGCTATTCTCGCGGGCGCGACCTGGATTTCGATTGCGCCGCCAGGTACGCAGCAAGTCGGGAGCTTGAGGAAGGGGCTGGACTGCGCGTTTCTCCAGGCAACTTGGCGGGGACTCCGAGCGACGAGGTTGCGAACCCACCTCGCGTAAACTACGGTGCCCTCCTCCTGGAACATCCCTGGATCAATGGGCCGCGCAAGCATGATGGCGGTGGAGCGGAGTGCCAGGGGTGTTGATATCTTGGGACTCTTGCTGGAGACGGGCACCATGTTTGCATCAATGTGGGCGACGTTCTTCAGCCGCATGACCCGCCGCCCGTGCGTCAGCAGCTTCGGCTTTGCATCGCGACGGTGGAGAAGGAATATATTCTGCAGATGCAGTGAGAGATGGCGGAGGACAGGTCGGTCGAATATCAGGGCGCGGACGCGGGCCAGGCGATGCAGGGCGAGCTGCCCGATGCAAAGAAGCAGAACGGACGATGGCCGACCGGCGACCCAATTTTGTTTTTTGGCGCTGAAGAGCCGTGCTCGACAGACGCTGGACGGGAAATCTCAGACTCCGATTGCCGCCTTCAAACAGCCCTGGGCGAAGATGCCTGCAGTTCAGCGTCAGTGAGGGTATGTCCTGCCCTTCATATCTGGATGAAGTCGTTGACGTCCATGCGCGCCGAGATTTCTGTCAACGTGACCACGTCGTACAATGCCTATGGCGCCGAGATCACGGTGCACGACCTGGCGACAGCAACTAAGAACTGGGTTTGCGAGCCTCTCCCTGGATACTCCCACGCGTGCGCAGAGACCGAGGCCGAGGGTCCCGCGATCATTGGCCCTGCGTCAGATTTCGCCTGGAGTAGCTTCAGCGATCTACCAGGTTGGGCCCGGGCGCGCTGGCTCTCGTCAACAGCACGAACTACAGAGACCTTCCGGAGATTTGCATGGACCTATGGCACCCACCCCGGGCAGAGAAGAAGCTCGTCGACGACAGCTGGGGGTAGTTGGTGGAAGACGACGAGACTGCTCTCCAGGATACAATTGATCAGATCGGGGTGAGCGGCGACCACGGACCGAGAGAGGAGTTGCAGCGCCTACTCGAAAACTATTCCGAGTTGTCAAACGCCGTGTACTTTCTCAAGGGACACGCAGACAACACCCCACCAGCCGGGAAAGCCATACAGGAGGCCATGAACGCCGCCATGACAATCGCCCAGTACGTCTCCGCTCTTGCGAAGGAAGAACCTCTAGCAGAGGAGGGCCAGATACTCCTCGGACCCGAAGAGCGCTACATCAGTGCCCATTGGAGAACGAGCTACGAGCTGACCACGTAGAGGAGGCAAGTCCTCGAGAATATGATTAGCTCCAAAAGGAAGGTATGTGCCAAGGTCGACGCGACGGGGGACCACCTGATCGACACTCCCTGTCACTGCGATTGATTTGGGCGCGTTGGTTATGAGGGTGCGCTCTTGGATATTCAGGTGTCTGAGCGGCCCGAGTCTTCGCGTGGGCATCTCTAGGGAGTTCTTGACCGCCCTCACGCGCTGGGCCCGATTGCAGTTTGAATTGGGCAATGGTGGGCCATCGATGCGTCGATGGCGCGCGTCGCAACATATGCACCAATGCAAGGGGCTCAGCAGCCCGGACGCCGACGTCCAGGCCGCCGACCACGGCACCAATTGGGCAGCCATTGCTTCTATCTCGAGCAAGAGCGGCCTGTGCAACCTGAAGCAGGGGCCCTCGAGCACAGACAACATGTTCGGCGTCTACTGCGAAGGGACCTCGTCGCGCCTCCTTGCGCCCACTGCACGGTGCACCTGTCGTCTGATGTCGGCCCCGAGATGAATCTAGATCCGTGCATTTCCGACCTGCGCTTGGGCCGCAAACGCGGCGCAGGCTACCCCGCGGTTCCTGTTGACAAGCAGTGGTGCCAAACAGAAGGCAGCGCCAACGTCGCCGAGCTCTGAATCCACACTACGACGATGGGAGATCTCGGACAATATCCGGACGATGCAGCAAGTCTGTGGAGTGCACAGGCTATGGAATCGCACGGTCAGGATGCATCGTGCAGCACAGGCTATTCCTTCAGCGTTTCCGAGCGTCCACGCGCTTTCGGACGGGAAGATCGAGGACTCCGACCTGGCGGTTCTCGAGGTCAAGCTGAAACCCACGAACGAAAGATGGGCTCCCCAATGGGCCAGAGAGCTCAGCGCAGCATCCCGCTACCTGGAGCGAGCTGGGTACCAGCGCGACCTCAGCGGGTCCGAGCCGCAGGGTTTCATGGACGAGATGGGGGACGCTGGGGCGAATCAGGACCTGGCAATTCTTTCATAGAGCGAGCATATGTCAATCCATGAGAGCGTCTCCAGGAGTTCGTGTAGCCGCACCAGCTTTGCGTCACAGACGCTTTGGGCTTGCGCGCGAAGGCTACGGAGTCTGAGCGGCTACGGTTTTCGAGGAGTATGAGCGGTTCTTCTCGGACTGAGGCGAGGCGGCTATTCGTCTGCAATGAAGGGTGGGTTTGTGGTTGTTACGCCCATGCCAGCCGCTCTTCCTCCCGCGCCTCTCTCCCACCTCCTTTGTGTGCCGCCGTTGTGGCTCACACGGGCCCTTGAGTCACCTGGCCCGCCGGCGACGGGCGCACCCTGGCCCCCGTAAAAGGACAGAGAACGTGCTCTCTCACAGCACGGGTTCCCCCTACGCGAACTCCAGTGCATTCCACATACGCCGTATCTTCCCAGTGTGCTCGCATGGCGTCCGGGTCGGGGTCGGGGGAATTCGGTATCTCGATATCGGGGGCAGGGCGTGGCGGGAAATCTATACCTCCATACCTCGATATCTCGGTATCCGGGTCGGGGCAGGGCGGGGATTCGACATCTCGATCTCCCGATATCTGGGGCGGGGCCAGGCGGGGACAGGACATTTCGATGTTTCGATATCGGGGGTGGGGTTGGACGGAGATTCGATATCTCGATACCCCAGGGTCTTCATGTCTCCATGTCGCGGGTGGGGGTGTTTTAGCGATACCGTTGCCTAGGTCTGTCCGCCACTTTACCCTGTGTATGCAGAGGCCGAAACATCGAGATATCGAGATGCTTTGGATGGCATCGAGGTCACGAAGGTTTTGTCGTACACGTCCTTCACCATCGTCGCTCCCTGATAGCGCCCAGCCCTCCCCCATCCCTCGCCCAGCCGGCCATGGTCGTTGACGAGGAGAGGAGGCGGGAGCAGGATGAATGGGAGGAGGAAGCTGTCGTCCGAGGCAAGAGGATAATAAACTATGGGAGAGGAGGGGGAGCAAGGCGGTGGAGGAAGAGGGGGAGGAGGAGGAGGAGGAGGAGGAGGAGGGAGGAAATGGGGGAGAAGGAGGGGAAGGAAAAGGCCGTGGCTTGAAAAAGGCGCCCGCGCCAAAACAGTTTCCCGAAACGTTTGGTGACCATGTTGGACGGGCGTATGTTTTGGAGGTCTGCAGGATGTGAATGAGGAGGAGGAGGAGGAGGAGGAGGAGGAGGAGGAGGAGGAGGAGGAGGAGGAGGAGGAGGAGGGGCAGAGGGGAAGAGGAGGAGGAGGAGGAGGCGGAGGAGGAGGCCGTCGCCTGAGAAAAAAACGCCCGCGCCGAAACAATCACTCGAGGCGTTTGGTGATTGTTTTGGGCGGGCGGAGTTTTTTAGAGGCCAGCAAGAGGAACAGCAGGGGGAATAGGAGGAGGAGAAGGAGGATGAGGAGGAGGAACAGGATAACGAAAGGGAGGTGGAGGAGGAGGAGGCCGTCGCCTGAAAAAGGCGCCCGCGCCAAAACAGTCACTCGAGGCGTTCAGTGTCTATATTGGGCGGGCGGGATCTTCTGGAAGGCAGCAGCAGCAGCAGCAGCAGCAGCAGCAGGAGCAGGAGGAAATACCAGGAGGAGCAGGAGGAGGCCGTTGCCTGAGGCCTGATTTGTTGAAGGTCGGCTGGTGCAGAAGGAGGAGGACGAGGTCGTCGCCTGAAAAAGGCGCCCGCGACAAAACAGTCATCCTGGGTGGTTCGATAACTGTTTCGCGATGTCTCGACATCGCGAGCTACACTACTTCGGCCGACAGGAGCCACGTGGAAGTCTACAGGTTGAGATATCGAGTCCTCTCCGAGCCCGGCCCCCGGTATCGAGATATCGGGATATCGAGATCTCGAGCCCCCGCCTGGCCCCGCCCCCGATACCGAGATATCTAGATGTCCAGTCCCCGCCTGGCCCCGCACCGGATATCGAGATAACTATCGACATATCGAGATGTCTCGGGTCTCCGCCCGGCCCGACCCTCCATGTCGAGGTATCGGGATATCGAGTCCCCGCTTGGCCCCGCCTCCGCTTTCGAGACATTTGGAGATCGGGATCTCGAATGCAGGGGAAAGAAGCACCCTGGCTCACCAGGACACATTGCCCCCACACCGCATCTTTTTGCGGCACTTTTGCTGCATCTCTGATCTGCGACGTCCCCAGGTCCCAAGAACGCAGCGAAAACGACCATGCGAGAGATCTGCAGCGCCTGAATCTCAGGCCTGGCCTGCTCCTTGAGGGCCTTCTGGGAGGAGGAGGAGGAGGAGGAGGAGGAGGAGGAGGAGGAGGAGGAGGAGGAGGAGGAGCCGCCTGCTGGCTGCCGCTCGTCTGCGCCAGCAACGGCCCGCTCGGCGGGGCGCCCCCGCGGCACCCCCCGCGCGCCCCTGCGCGCAGCGGCACGCGGACGGCCGCACGGCAACTTAGGGGGGGTCTGGGTAGTCGAAGGCCAGACTGTCAGATTGGATTGGGCCCCAAGGGCCAATCTGGCCCGGCCTAACTGGATGATTTGGGTTATTCGCCAGACTGGATTCGCGTTGGCTCCCTCGCCAGATTGCCCCCGTTTGCCAGATTGGGCCTGCCAGATTGGCTTCGACTACCCAGTTAGGGGGGGTGGCGATCTGGGCGAAGCTGGTCCTGACCATTTGGCGAGTCATCAGATCCCTTGAAGCCACTTGGGTCACTTGCAGTCCATTTAGAAAATAGGTTGGGCAACCTTGGCATCAGCTGCAGACCCCCCTCATCCCCTCAGGACCCCCGCGCCGATCCAAGCGGCTGCCCTTCGGGTGGCCATCTTGTCGCCACGGCTGGACGCAGCTTGTAAAATTTGTGCGTTTGGACCCAGATCAATGTTTCAGGCCCGATTTTGAGCTGCCGTTGTTTCCGCTCGCCATGTTCTGAGGAGCGAGGGTCGAGATAGCTCGAGTCTGCCCCGCCGCTGCGGACAAGCCTTTGCCAAAGTCGCTTGAGCCAAAATGGCTATATACTGAGATCCGACGTTGCGAACAAGTGTAACATCATGAACAATCCCAACAGGAGCCCTGGACCCCATCTGTCTGCGGCCTTTTCTTGTGGAGGAGTACCGATATGTGGGGGTCCCAGGGCCAGGAACCCGGCGAACACGCCAGTGGTGAACAAAAAAAAACGCCCGGATCTCAGGGTACGGAAGAGGCGTGACATCGCAGTTTTTGCCCCCAGCCAGTGTGCCACTTTTCAGAACACCTTGCATGGGGAGGCAAGTGCGCTGGGAGAACCGCTCGCAATGAAGCAAGCGGGTATTCAACGAAACGTGTCCTGAGGATACCGACACCGCTACCCTTTCGTCGCCCCCACGGTTGGATTCGTCCTCACATCTTTGTCAGAGAGCACCCCGAGAGACGTCCGTGGAGTAGCAGTGAAAGTACCCTGGGTCCAGAGCTCTTTTCCCTAGGACCACGCGTCTTTCACGCCAAGTGTGCTGCGCGGGCAGAAGCAGTCCACTCACTAGGATGCAACTCCGCGGAGGTTGAATTATGAATCGGCGCTGGCATATCCCTGTTCGAAAACGGGCCGAATCTGTTTTAATACCGTTGAATCCGACTTAATCGCTTAATCCCGCTTATTCCGGTTGAATCGGATATTGTTCTAGGCTAGTCCAGTTTAGTCTCTCGTGTTTCACTTGGCCTAATCTGGCATCATGGCGCCTTATCGGCCCTCATCGTTCTTTCGAAGATCTCCCAGAAGCTGCTCCCTAGCACTCAGTGGCTAAAGTGGCCAGAGATAACAGAACGACTGCAGCAGTCAACGAGCACCGCGCGCACGGGGTCGGTGGGCACGCCGTGCCACCGTGGCGGATACCAGCACACACACGCCGGCTGCACACAGCGGGCGTTCCAGGCAGGGCCTCTCTCTTTCGGCTGCCGGCGGAAGCCGGCGGAATGCTCTGCTGGCAGACGCTGTAAAACGATGCGAAGGTCGGGACAACATCGGATCGGGATAACTCGAAATCTCGGAGAATCGGCGGGTTTGGAGGATGTATTGGGCGCCGCGGCCGCTCCAGAGCGTTCTGGAACGCTCTGAGAGCGCTCGGGAACGCTCTGGAGCGATTTATCCCGATCCTAGCCCTGTTTTAGATGGCGGAAGCTGGCTGAAGCAAACACGAGACATCTTGCATTCGGGAGTCAGACGTCGCCCACGTCCTTAGTCATGTCGGCCCACGAGGACATTTTGGCTGTGGCCCGTTGGCCAGACGAGGGCGTGCATGGCAATCTTGCCAGAGAGCACCTTGTTCCAATCCATCAGCTCCCGCCAATCGGAATGCGCTGGGACAGCGAGCCATGCTCCGAGCATGCTGCCCTTTGAGCCGCCGCGGTCAGAGCTCGCAGACCGCTCACGCGGCCTGGGCAGCAGCACACTCTCGGTGACCCTGAGGGGCGCGCCGGCTGGAAGCACATCTTGGTTGGCGTTGCGCGACTCGTCGAGGGGCGCCTCCCGCATGTCCAACGCTACGCGCAGGATAGACGCCGCCTCGTACACCCTGGACGACGCTCTGTGGTGGGGCTCCGACCCTGCGGTGGGGTCCGCTGAGAGCGACGCGACGATGTCCCGCGTGACGTCGTCCCATGTCACGTCGTCCCACGTCACGTCCCGCAACACGACGATGTCGTATACGAATCAGTCGGAGATTTCCCTTGGGCAGAGGCCGTGGATGGGCCCGCAGGTCGAGGAACAAAAAACAGCACAAGCATGAACGCTCGGAGTTCTGCGCGGATTTCTCGGATCGGCCCTGGGGCCATCCCTGGCACGCGGAGCACGCCCACGCCTCCGGCGGCGCTGGAGGCGCTTTCCAGGGGGACTGGCCGTCGATCCGCGAATTCCGCGCGGACCTCGGACGGTTCATGCTTGCATTTTTTTGTGTCACTCCAAGAGGAGTCTGAGGTTTCTCGCGTCTCGTCGGTATCGCAGTCGGAGACGCCCGTCGAGCAGCGCCCGTCCCTCTTCTCGAACTGCGGCACCTCTTCGCGGCCCTCGGGGGCGCGGTCACACGTCAGCGAGAGGTCGTCCGTTCAGAAGGTCTTGCTCTCCGCCATGCGCTGGGGCCGGGTGGTCAGCAACGAGTCCGTCATGGCGAGAGCGGCGGTGCAGAGCGAGCAGCAGCTGCGCATGCGATCCCAGAGACGGGCCCGGGAGACGGTCGTGGAGGGCTCCTGGCTCCTGCTCGCGTGGATGATGATTTATGGGGTTATGAGGCTCGAGGATAAGACAGCTGCGTAAACATAAGCTTCCGGAGGTCCGCGGGGATCGGAGCTCCGACGGTTTATGCTTGTGCAGATTCTGTCCCGATCCAAAGGGTGGTCCAGATCTTGAGTCGTGGCTTTGACCAGGGCCAGGGGTGCCCGTTGCTGTGGCGCGGGGGCGAGGCGCCGCAGGGCAGGGGCCACACGTTGGCGAGCCTGGCGGGCGAGGCCTGCACCTTGCTGGCGGTCGGCCTGCTGGCCGCCGTGGGGCTGCTCCGGCCTGACCTCCGCGCCCACTACTGCGTCTTGCTCACGCTCGGGCTCTACGTAGTGGCGTTCCCGTTCCTGCCCTCGGAGCTCAGGGAAGGCAAAGATGCGGCTACCACTACCCTTCCCTCTTCGCCACGGCTGAGCGATTCGCTTCGAAATTTTGATCCGAACGCACCTCTTCGTTTCCCCAGGAGCCCTCGTGCGACGATCTATGGCGCTATCGGCAGTGCGCGGTGGGCAAGGACAAGTGGCGGACTGACGTGCAAGGCTGCGGCCCACAGGGCATGTCGTCCTCAGTGATGGCCGTGTCCCTAGTTTGCATGTCTCCGCACATAGTGCCCGAGCTGAAACCAATGCTACTGTGTGTGACTCTATTTATTGCGGGATACCTCGCGGCGTCAGCAATCTACCTCTACGCGACCGAGTTGGGATATTATACGTGGGTGGATGTGATGGTTGACATCGTGCTGCTCGGTGCCGCCACCGTGATAGCTGCCTACAGGAAGTACAAGATTGAGGTGCAGCAGCAGTACGCGGACTTGCTCTACCATGAAAAGTCTGATGCCACTAGAAAGCTCCTCGACTTGCTCCAGGATTTCCTTCCAGACCACATGATCTCACAAATGTTGAGGCTCCCGAGCGCTACCATCGCAGATCAGATCCCAAAGGCTTCCGTGCTGTTTCTAGTGATTTCGGACTTCGAGGGTCACATGAGGCGGCAGACTCCGGATCAGCTCTTGGACTTCCTGAACACCCTCTTCGGCAAGATCGACCGTATATGCTTCGACTGTCAGGTGACAAAGATCGAGACGGTGGGCGAGGAATACGTCGCTGCCGTCGGCGTGAAGCCAGAGGACTATTCTCATGGGGCTGGCCAGCACGAGGCCGTGCTAAATCGCCTCATCGTGGCGGTGCAGGGCATAGTTATGGCGCAGGAGGGCGACCCGGGCGAGCTCCTGACCAACGTCAAGTTCAGAATGGGCCTGCACACTGGCCCTGTCGTCGCCGGCGTGATCGGGCAGAAGCTGCCCAGGTTCCGCCTGTTCGGCGACACAATGAACACTGCCGCCAGGATGATGCAGATGGGGATCGACGGCGAACTCCAGTTCGGGGAGGAGACCCGGATGTGCATGCCGAGCTGGGCGCGGTACCGTTCGAGGGGAAAGGTCGAGATGAAGGGAAAGGGCCAGGTGGACACGTACCTCCTGGACTGGTTGAGCGGCGAAGATTCCGGGAGGATTGCATGGGAACAGTTTCGCTCTTACGGGCTCCGCAAGTCCAGGCGGGGCAGTCTGGACAGCATCATAACGGTCAGTAGCCAGGACTCCGACGTTCGGCATAGCGTGGAGCTGGAGCTTACAGTGACTGGCCGCACTGGCACTTCTACCTTGACCAGCTTGGTCTCGTTCTATTTGAGGAGGCTCGGACACAGGCTGGTGAGTTTTGCACGCGGCGGACCGCTCGGCATTGACGAGGGCGACATCGAATGGCTTCGGGAGTTCTACGGCTTCCGCTTTGCGAGCCACTTGGGGCGGCGTTCGGACCGTCTCGCTATCGTATTGATTGTGCTCACTGCGGTGGAGGCTGTTTCGGCGGAGTTGCTGCAGCCTCGGATGGGTGAGGTGTTCGGCGTGAGGCGTATCTGGATGTTCGTGGTCATGCGCGCCATGCTGCTGGCGTTGATCTTCCTGTGGCGCCTCGTCGCGCAGAAGAAGGACTGGATCCTCACGGCGCCGACGACAGCGGAATCGTGGCGGTTGGCGCACGCCTGCGCTCTGCTGGTTCTGCAGTTTACAGCGTATGCACTTCTCGCCGCGCCCCCCGTCCACGAAGTCAGCCTCGACTTGAACGCCTCGCAGGCCAGGGACAAGATGCGGAGGGAGCCCCTCAGGACACCCTTGTGGCAGTTGATGTTCTTCCTGTGGTACGCGGTGAACGTGATGGGCTTACAGTTTCGGAGAGGGCCCACAATCTGTTTCGTGACCTTCTCGTTGGCTTCGCCGCTTATCATTTCTGCTGCTTGTCCTGACGTTCGCAACCTCGCGAGCGCTGTGCAGCTCGTTGCAATGCTCATAATGGGCCTGGTGGGCATCCATCTCGCGGGCGCAGATGAGCATCAAGATAGAGAGCGATATCATGCGGAGACGCAAGTGAAGTCTGCGCAGCACCGCATGGACTCGATCTTGAGCCAATTGGTGCCCCCCTTGGTGGCAAACGAGCTGAGCAAACGAAGGGCCTCCCAGAGCGCTAATATTTTGCACTGGGGCTTGGGGTGTTCACACTCTTACCAGCAAGCCACCATCGCCTGCTCGGACCTCGTGGGTTTCACGGCGCTGGCAAGCACGCGCACAGCCACGGAGGTCGTGGAGATGGTCAGCGACCTTTTTGGGAGATTCGACAGGCTCAGTGACATTTACAGCATCTGCAAGATAGAGACCGTCGGCGACGCCTACATTGCTGGCCAGGCGGTCCGTCCGCTCACATCGGTCTATAGGCCCATCAGCGTGGTCGTCTTCGCGGTCAAGATTATAGAAGCCGTAAGGAGTTGGTCGCGTGAGAGAGACACACCTCTCGATTGCCGGGTCGGCGTCCACACTGGTCCGTGCGTCGGCGGTGTCGTTGGCGTGGAGATGAAGCGGTATCATTTGTTCGGCCCTTTGATGTCGGTCTTGGAGTTGCTGGAGTCCACCGCCCCGACTGGGCAGGTGCACCTGAGCAGAGCATGCCAGACGGCCGTGGAGCAGCAGGCCTCTGCGGAGGGGCTCTGCGACGAGGTCGTGGTCTGCTCTCCCAGGCTGGAGCCCGTCCTGAATACATCAAAAGGGGATCCGGTGTTCAGAGGGGAAGAACATGGCCATATTGTTGTCAGTTCCTGGTTTCGCCTTTCGGGGCACTCTGGGGGCATGTCGTCGCCACGGCTGGAGTCGCATCGGGATCCGAGTGGGAACGCACCCTGTGAGAGGTCTGGTGAGAGAAATATACGGTATTCGTTTGTTTTCTTTCTTCAGGTGATGTACCAGGACATAGGGGGCGGGCCAACTTTTGTGGTGCAGCGCTGCACCCCTGAGCTGTACGACCACGAAGCCAACTTTGAGCGGGTCAAGCTGAATATGTCGTCGACACACCGCAGCTTGCACTCTGCCAGAACCCACACCCAGCTCGAAGCATGCACGACCTGCGCGGCCCCGAGCGACCGAACCATGTCCATCTGAGCCGCCTAGCGGCTCTGTTGCAAGCTGTATCTTTCTTTCCGCCAATTCGGTTGCAACCATATTGGGACCATAAGTCCCCTGCTGAGTACGGTCTGCGCGCCGAAATCTTTTCTTGGTTGCGTAATGCAGCAATCGTTATCCAGTGGGCGTGCGCGCCGCGCCTTTGGCGTATATCTTGAGTGAGTGGTTGGGTGCGTTGGCACTACTCTTCCTCCTTTTTTTCCCCACATCCTAAGTGGGGTCTTGCTTTCTCTGCACACCCTCCGCGCAGGATCTCCTCCTCCTCCTCCTCCTCCCTCTCCTCTGCTCTTCTTTGCTTCTTCCTCCGCATCATCATAACCATCACCATCACTCCCCACTCATCATCATCATCATCATCATCATCATCATCATCATCATCATCATCATCATCATCACATCACCATCACCATCACCATCACCATCACCATCGCACGATCACTCACCATCATCGGCATCGAACGATCATCATCATCATCATCATCATCATCATCATCATCATCATCATCATCATCATCATCATCATCATCATCATCATCATCACTACTCGCTGACTTGAGGCCTGAATATGGAGGAAGTATCAGGCGGGAGCCTCGTCTGTGAGTGAATTGTGAGGAAGTCTCAGGCGGGAGCCCCCTCCCTATGGAGCCCGCACTTCATGTTCGAATCCGAGCGGGTCATCCGAAACGCGCAACTGTCGTCACTTTTTGGCTCTGGAGGCCTGAATATTGAGGAAGTCTCGAGCGGGAGCCTCGTCTGTGAGTGAATTGTGAGGAAGTCTCAGGCGGGAGCCCCCTCCCTATGGGGCCCGCACTTCATGTTCGAATCCGAGCGGGTCATCCGAACGTGCAACTGTCGTCACGTTTGGGCTCTTGAGACCTGAATATGGAGGAAGTCTCGAGCGGGAGCCTCGTCTGTGAGTGAATTGCGAGGAAGTCTCAGGCGGGAGCCCCCTCCCTATGGGGCCCGCACTTCATGTTCGAATCCGAGCGGGTCATCCGCAACGTGCAACTGTCGTCACTTTTGGGCTCTTGAGACCTGAATATGGAGGAAGTCTCGAGCGGGAGCCTCGTCTGTGAGTGAATTGTGAGGAAGTCTCAGGCGGGAGCCCCCTCCCTATGGGGCCCGCACTTCATGTTCGAATCCGAGCGGGTCATCCGAACGTGCAACTGTCGTCACTTTTGGGCTCTTGAAACCTGAATATGGAGGAAGTCTCGAGCGGGAGCCTCGTCTGTGAGTGAATTGTGAGGAAGTCTCAGGCGGGAGCCCCCTCCCTATGGGGCCCGCACTTCATGTTCGAATCCGAGCGGGTCATCCGCAACGTGCAACTGTCGTCACTTTTGGGCTCTTGAGATTTGAATATGGAGGAAGTCTCGAGCGGGAGCCTCGTCTGTGAGTGAATTGTGAGGAAGTCTCAGGCGGGAGCCCCCTCCCTATGGAGCCCGCACTTCATGTTCGAATCCGAGCGGGTCATCCGCAACGTGCAACTGTCGTCACTTTTGGGCTCTTGAGATTTGAATATGGAGGAAGTCTCGAGCGGGAGCCTCGTCTGTGAGTGAATTGTGAGGAAGTCTCAGGCGGGAGCCCCCTCCCTATGGGGCCCGCTTCCCGAGGCGCTGGCCGAGGCGGCGACGGCGCTGAGGAAAATGGATTTGCTTGCCCCGACGAGGGGGAAGGGGAGGTGCACATGGAGAAAAGGCAGGGGGATGAGGAGGGAAGGGGCATGGGGGAGGCCGACGACGAGGAGGAGGTGGCGCGAGAGGAGGAGGAGGAGGAGGAGGAGGAGGAGGAGGAGGAGGAGGAGGAGGAGGAGGAGGAAGAGAAATAGAAGGGGGAAGAGAGGGCAGTGCAGGGGGCGAGAGGAGAGGGTGTCCGCCAGGGGGAGGAGGAAAGGGCAAAGGGTAAGGTAAACAGATTCTCATGTGGGGTCCTACCGTCGGAGTAATTTGTTTGTACACGTTGTACAGCGCTGTTCTTTCCCGACTGCTTCTGCTGTCCATACTTTGGGCGGTCTCCTAATTCTGGTGTTTGGCCGATCTGCATCGGACCGCTCGGACACAAAATGCCTTGTCATCGTGGTTCATGCTGCCTGCGTGAGAAGTGGGAGTATGTCCACGACTCGACGTCGCCTTCCATCATTGAATTTTGTTTTTGCGTGGCGATGTCATTTCCTAGCCCAGCGGTGTTGGCGCTAGCGGCAGCGGGCTGGGCAGACTCTGCGTTTTTCTCGTCCACGGCTCATGGCGGCAGGGCAAGAGCACCTGTCTGGCTAGGTTTTGCCCTCCGCTGTCCTGGCAGTGTTGGCAAAGGTAGGCCCGTCGCTCCTTGTTGTTCGTCATGCACACTTGTGATGCCACATGCGTCGGTATAGGACCCAGGCCCTTCCTGTCGGGCTTCGTCCTCGCACGGGCACGGATGGCGTCTCGAACACTTGCCAGGGCTCAATTTTGAACCCATTCCCGCGCACAACGTGTTACATGAAACGGCTGTGTAAGCGTTCGTCGACGCGTAGGTCCGCATTTGTGCACATGCGTGTTTCTGTGACCGACTCTAAGCGTGATCAAGACTAAGCATGAGCGAATGTGTACGAGTGAGTCTGCATGTGGTCAGGTCTGGGTGAGAGCGGGTAGGTATGAGTCGGTCTGAGTATGGGCCAGGATGTGCAGGAGTGGTTCAAAGCATAAACGAGCTTGATCATGGAAGCGTCTGGGTTGTAAGTTGCCGTGGGAATGAGGGCGACTGGATACGATTGTGTCTGAGTGTGATTGTGTTACAGTCTGAGCCGTTCATCATGAGAGGCTGAGTACGAACGGGTGTGGTCCTGTGTGCGGTTCAGTCTTTGCGCGCTTGCGGTTCTGAGCATTGTAAGTGACGGAGTGCGAGCGAGTCCAAGTATGAGTGGTTGTGAGAAGTAGGGGTCAGAGTGTGAGCGATGCAGGAGGTTAGTGAGTGTGATAACGAGTGTCTTCGTACTAGTGGTTCCGATTATGGTCGAGTCTGGGTATTACTGGCTGTGCACGCGTGTTCTCCTCCCGCCACCTCCGCCTCCCTCTCCGCCTCCTCCCCTGTCCGTCTCCCGTCCCGCCTCCTGCCCCCTCTCGGCCTCCTCCCCCCCTCGTCCGCCTCCTCCCGCCCCCTCCTCCTCCGCCTCCCCCTCCTCCCCGCCCGCCCCCCCGCCCCGCCTCCAAGGACCCCTCCGTGGACCCCGCTGCTCCTGGACCATCCCGTCTCCGCCTCCCGCCTTCCCTGGCGCCTCCTAAGACACGGGCTGGGCGACGGTCGACAGCCCTTTTGACGTCCCAGGGCCGTCAGGAATCACGACGAGCTAGCCGCTCTTGGCAGTTTTCGAACTCCGAGGAGGGATCGGTTGGCTTTCGGACGTGCTCGCAGGTCTTCGAAGGTGTTCGGAGCCTGGACCGCTTTTCCTCGGTTGCGCCTCGTCGCTGGCGTTCCGGAGGTGCCGGAAGCGTCCTAAGCGGCCGCATGAGGCTCAAGCTATTGCCCCAAAGCCGACGTCCTCCCCCCGTGAAGCAGAACACGACGGCAGTCCGTACGCCGAGATATGAACCGCTCTTGACTCGGTAGGGGCTCCGGCTTTCGGGCCGTTCCGTTCATCTAGGTCGGGGGTCCTTGTCGTGGCCGAATCTCGCCGTGTCCAGAGCAGCCCCCCTCGTTCCTTGTTCGTCGTTCCGTATCGCACGATGAGTGTACGGTGTTGCCAGCTCTCGGTCTCCAGGGGCCATGACCGGGCCATGGGGCATTCAAAGAACACCCTTCGGGGTGAGGGGCCGGTCCCGGGAAAGAGGACCAGACCCTCTGGGCAGCCGCGCTGTGACGAAGTCGCGACATCGGATGTCCAGGCCCACGCGCGCGCAGGGCCCCGAACAATTACTCCGACGGTAGGACCCCACATGAGAATATGTTTAGCTTACCCTTTGCCCTTTCCTCCTCCCCCTGGCGGACACCCTCTCCTCTCGCCCCCTGCACTGCCCTCTCTTCCCCCTTCTATTTCTCTTCCTCCTCCTCTTTCTCCTCCTCCTCCTCCTCCTCCTCCTCCTCCTCCTCCTCCTCCTCCTCGCGCCACCTCCTCCTCGTCGTCGGCCTCCCCCATGCCCCTTCCCTCCTCATCCCCCTGCCTTTTCTCCATGTGCACCTCCCCTTCCCCCTCGTCGGGGCAAGCAAATCCATTTTCCTCAGCGCCGTCGCCGCCTCGGCCAGCGCCTCGGGAAGCGGGCCCCATAGGGAGGGGGCTCCCGCCTGAGACTTCCTCACAATTCACTCACAGACGAGGCTCCCGCTCGAGACTTCCTCCATATTCAGGTCTCAAGAGCCCAAAAGTGACGACAGTTGCACGTTTCGGATGACCCGCTCGGATTCGAACATGAAGTGCGGGCCCCATAGGGAGGGGGCTCCCGCCTGAGACTTCCTCACAATTCACTCACAGACGAGGCTCCCGCTCGAGACTTCCTCCATATGCAGGTCTCAAGAGCCCAAAAGTGACGACAGTTGCACGTTTCGGATGACCCGCTCGGATTCGAACATGAAGTGCGGGCCCCATAGGGAGGGGGCTCCCGCCTGAGACTTCCTCACAATTCACTCACAGACGAGGCTCCCGCTCGAGACTTCCTCCATATTCAGGTCTCAAGAGCCCAAAAGTGACGACAGTTGCACGTTGCGGATGACCCGCTCGGATTCGAACATGAAGCGCGGGCCCCATAGGGAGGGGGCTCCCGCCTGAGACTTCCTCACAATTCACTCACAGACGAGGCTCCCGCTCGAGACTTCCTCCATATTCAGGTCTCAAGAGCCCAAAAGTGACGACAGTTGCACGTTTCGGATGACCCGCTCGGATTCGAACATGAAGTGCGGGCCCCATAGGGAGGGGGCTCCCGCCTGAGACTTCCTCACAATTCACTCACAGACGAGGCTCCCGCTCGAGACTTCCTCCATATTCAGGTCTCAAGAGCCCAAAAGTGACGACA